CCCCCCATGGACTATGATGGGGGGGGGGGGGGGAGTTCACTGCTCTGCACAGCAGGAAATATTGGTCATTGCCATTGGATGACCAGACCTGAGGTGACAACATATTCTGTGTTCCCCAATGCGCCTGCAGATTTCATGCCTCAGCAGCTGCTCTGGTTTCCAAACGCATTAGTAAGTAGGAAATTCCGTCTCACTTCAGCACTGGACAGCTCCCGCTGCAGAGGTAGCCTAACCCAGCTGTGCCGCTGGCTGACCGGGAAAGTACAGAAAACACTGTGCTTAACTTCTGTGCGCTCACCTTGTTCATGTCCTGCAGATAGAGCCAAGCATTGAATGAGCGGCTGGCCAGATCCAAATCCAACAGCTTCAGCTCTGCTACCCCCGTGCTGATGTTCCTCTCATCCTCGTCAATGCCAAAGACAGAAAATCTCAGGCTGTTTTCCTCCAGCGCTGACGGATCCAAGGGAATTGAAAACTTCTCATCGAAGAAGACAGAAAAGGCACTCCTTTGAATCTGCCCAGAGAAACAGGGGAGTTGCTTTAAACAGCTAATGAAATCACCTGGAAAGCTTTGGAAAAGATTCCCTTCAAAGGCAGTTTAGTAGGTTTATGTGGCCGGAGCCCTGGGTTTGAATTCCACAGGACTGAGCCGGCCCTTGGTGCTGTCAGAGTAGAGATAGACAGAGCTTCATGCAATACACTGGGAGAGGGGGCACTGCCCACACCAAGGTTCTCCCAGCTTGGTAGAAAACCAGGGCAAAGTTTTCCAGAGGACTGTCCACTGATGCTTGTTCTGCCAGCCTCATCGCTACCCCACAACATGCTAGTTGTGTGCTCACGCTCCCACAGGTGGAACCAGCAACCAGACCTGATCTGTGCCTGGCTTCACAGGGAGCAAGGAGGCTGAGGTAGTTCCTGTGTGTCACGTGCTTTGATGAAAGATGCTAAAGGTGGGAAAGTCCCATTGTTAGGAGCAGTATAGCAGGCCCGGTCAAAGCACCCTTTGCAGGCCAGCTCTGGGCCGTGGCCACCATGGGGGGCCTCAGGCAGATTCCCTGCCTGCCCTCTGCATGCTGTGGAGAAAACATGCGGGGCTCTGTTTGAACAACTCTGAGTCCAGGGGAGGGAAGATTAGGCTTCGTGCACTGCCCCCACCCCCAGCACAATCCTGGCTAATGGGAGCTGCCTGTTGTCAACAGGCAGTTTGTGAAGCACCCGCCTCCCCGTATCCCCTCAGGCTCATAGCTGTTCAAAAACCACATGGATCCTGCAGCCAGGGTGGGGGCGGAGCAGGCAGGGGGGATTCTGCTTTAGAAGGCAGCTGACTGGGAATCAAGCAGGTGAGTCTCCCAGACAGAGCCTGCCTCTGGCACCCCAACACCTTGCCCCCCTACCCCACATAACACACACCCTCTGTCCCTCCTCCTGCACCCATATCCCCTCCCAGTTCCTGCACCCTAATCCCCTACCCCTGGTAACAGCCCTTCCTGTCCTAGGCCACAGCCCAAACCCTCTGCCCCCTCCTGCCCCCATATCTCCTCCAAGATCCTGCACCCCAATCCCTGCCTCATGTCACAACCCAAACCCTGTTCCCACCCTCCCGTCCCAATATTCCCTCCCAAATCCTGCACCCCAATCCCCTGCCCTAGATCACAGCCTAAACCTCCCTACCCCCTTCTGCACCCTAGTCTCCTCCCCCAGGTCACAATCCAAACCCCTGCACCCTAATCCTCTAACCCAGGTTACAACTGCCTCCTTCACCCAACCTCCCTCCCAGACCCCACACCCTCCCAGATCTTCCACCCCAATCCCTTACTGCAAACTCCCTTCTGCCCCCAACCTCCATCCCAGACCCCACACCTCCTCCATTAATATGGAAGGGTGCAGTCCTTGCACACTTTCCAAATTCTTGGAGTGGCCCCACCTATCAAAAATTATTGCCCACCCCGACCTAAAGGATGGCTCTTTGTTCTAGATGGCAGATGCGTGAAGTCATAAAGGATGGGAGAAGGGTGAAGATAGAATCTATCTTTAAAAAGGGGAACAAAGTGAATCCAGGGAATGATAGATCAGCCAGTCGAATTCTGCTAACTGGAAATATAGTGGAGCAAATCATATATATAGTAGCCCAATGTCTGTAACGCTGAAATGCTGGCTGTTCCCTCTGGGCTGCGCTGTTTCCTGAGTCACGTCCTTCGCCTCCCGCCATGGTGCTCAGCCGTCTTCTGCGCCGCTCAGCCAGGCCACCGCGGGAGAGCAAGTGGCACAAGCGGCCTTTTGGGAGCTGCAGTCCCCATGCAGCACAGGGGTGCTGCATGGGGAGCATGGGGCCCAAACGGCCGCTTGCACCGCTGGCTCCCCCGCCCTGGGCCGCACACCACTCAGCACCATGGTAGGAAGAGGAAGGGGGGCGGTGACATAATAGGGGATGGGGCCTGGCTGTGTACATCACCGCCCCGCCCCCCTTCGCCTCCCACCATGGTGCTCAACTGACTTCTGCGCCACTCAGACAGGTCGCCGCATGGGAGTAAGCAGCCATTTGGGCCCCACGCTCCCCATGCAGCACAGGGGTGCTGCAAGTGGAACGCGGACCCCAAACGGCCACTTGCGCCACTTGCTCCAGTGCGGCGACCCGGCTGAGTGTTGCAGAAGTCAGCCGAGTGCCATGGCGGGAGGCAACAGCGCCCCCCAGAGGCAACACCAAACACTACAACGTTACAGAGTCACAGACATTGGGCTACTATATATATGATATCAAAGAAAGCATCTACACAGCAAGCCTGTTATTTCAAACTAATTTTGAAATAACGGGCACCTCATTTCCTATTTCCAAATAGTTATTTTGATATAGGGCATGTGTCGTCAGCACAGTTGCGGAAGGTCAAGGAGCTCTGGCAGGTCTATTCCAAGGCCAGAGAAAGGAGTTCCCAGTCGCAAGCGACCATTTCGGCTGTGCGCTCCACATGTAGCACGGGGAGCATGGTGCCCAAATGGCCATTTGGGCTCCGTGGCCCCCCAAGTGAGAGGCAGGGGGGGGAGGAGAAGAAAGAGAGAGAGAGGCAGGAGGCAGAGGAGAGCTGAAAGGGGGGGGAGAGGCAGGAGGAGGAGAAGAGAGAGAGAGAGATGGAGCAAGAAACCGGAGGCTCAGGAGAGAAGACCGACGTGGAGGAGAGACCTGAAAATCCCGTCTTATGGCAGGCTAATTGGCTAGTTATTAAAGAATCAATTTGGAAGCACCTAGAGGGTACTAAGGTGATAACTAATAAGCAATGTAGATTGTCAAGACTAAATCATGCCAAACCAACCTAGTTTCCTTCTTTGATGGGTTACTGACAGTGGATATGGGGAAAACAGTAGACACAATTTATCTGGAGAAACATGGTCTAGATGAAATTGCTACAAAGTGGGTGCGTGACTGGTTAGAAAACTATACTCAGAGTAGTTATCAATGGTTTGTTGTCCAACTGGGAAGATGTATCCCATGGGTCTTTTCTGGATCCAGTATTATTCAATGATTTCATTAATGACTTAGACAAGGGAGGGAAGAGCATGCTTATAAACTGTACAGATGACACCGAACCGAAAGAGTTGCTGGCACTTTGGAAGACAGGATTAGAATTCAAAGGAATCTTGATAAATTGGAGATCTGGTCTGAAATCAACAAGATGAAAATCAATGAAGTAGGACACTTAGGTAGGAAAAACCAAATGCACAGCTTCCAAATGGGAAATAAGTCAGATGACAGACCTGCAGAAAATTATCTCAGAGTTATGGTGGCTCACAAATTGATTATGAATAAACAATGTGATGCAATTGCAAAACAGGCTGATATTTTGGCATGTAGTACCAGGAGTGTAGTAAGTAAGACATGGGGGCTGCGTCTAGATTGGCATGATTTTCCGGAAATGCTTTTAACAGAAAATTTTTCCGTTAAAAGCATTTTCGGAACAGAGCGTCTAGATTGGCACGGACACTTTTCCGCAAAAACACCATTTTCACGATCGGGGCTTTTTTGCGGAAAACAAACCTGAGCTGTCTACACTGGCCCTTTTGCGCAAAAGGGACTTTTGCCTGAATGGGAGCAGAATAGTATTTCCGCAAGAAGCACTGATTTCTCACAGTAGGAAGTCAGTGCTTTTGTGGAAATTCAAGCGGCCAGGGTAGACAACTGGCAAGTTTTTCTGGAAAAGTGGCTGATTTTCCCGGAAAAACTGGCCAGTCTAGACACAGCCAGGATGTATCTGTCCCACTCCCACCCACTCTACTGGTGGGATCTCAGCTGGAGTACTGTGTCCAGTTGTGTGTCCAGTTCTGGCCACTACACTTTGAAAGAGACGTAAACAAACTGGAAAGGGTCCAGAGAAGAAAAAAAAAAGATAAATTATTTAGAAAATGTGATCCATGAGAAAAGGTTAGAAAAAGCTGAGCATGTTTAGTCCTGAGAATAAAAGATTCAGGGGAACCCTCTAAAAGTCTTCAAATACATTAAGAGAGACACATGATCAATTGTTCTCCATATCTGCTGAAGGCAGGATACGCTGAATGGGCTGAATGTACAGCAAGGGAGTTTTAGGTTAGATATTAGGAAAAACTTTTTTAAATTATAAGGATAGTTACCTACTGGAACAAGTTGCCGAGGGAGGTTACAGAATCTCCATCACTGGAAATTTTTAAAGAACAGATTAGACAAACACCTGTAAGGGACAATCCAGGTTTATTTGGTCCATCCTCCGCTTGGAGGGATGGACTAATGACCTCTCAAGATCCCTTCCAGAACTACATGTCTATGATTATGTGGGAAAACTAAAGTGGACTTGAAAGGCAGCTAAATGAGCACATCAATGTACATTTGAGCAGTGGCTCTTCACCTTCCCACTCTACTCCTTTCACAAGTCCAGTTTGTCTTGTGCACCCCCAAGTTTCACTTCATTAAAAACTTCTGGCTTCCAAAACGAGACATAAAAATAGAGATGTGCAGGTGCAGGTGCAGGTGCAGCAGCAGACGACTTACTAAACAATTGTTTACATTCTCATTTTTAACCATATCATTATAAAATACCATTTGTTACTGTGACAGAGGCAGGCCACAGGGCTACAGGAGAGGACTGGAGGGGAAATATATTAGCCCCAAATTAAATAGGTCTCTGTTCCCAAGGTAGAATAACAAGGGCTGATCCAAAACCAGCAGGTACCTGCTAGAATCAGTCAGAGCAATCAGGCCAACTAAAATACCTGGAACCAATTAGGAGGCTTCCAGACTCAAGGGAGCCAAACTAATTAGAACAGCTGGGGACCAATTAAAAACCAGCTGAGACTCAGTGTGCGAGGAAGGAGCTGATAAGAGTAAGTGTGCTGGAGAGCCTGGGAGAAGAAAGTGCAAGCAGATACCAGGTGGAATATACAGGAGAAGGCTGTGGGGAAGTGGCCCAGGGACTTGTAGCTGTCACACAGTCCCTGAGCTTGAACCCTTAGTAGAGGGTGGGTCTGAGTCCTTTCCCCTCCCCAACTCCCCAT